AGCTCCTGCGGTATGCCAACGTTGCCCGATCCTGATGCTGATGCAGATCCTCCGCCTCCACCGGCAGTAGTGCCCGTGCCCGAGCTGCCTGCTGCCGAGGATCCGCCGCCTGCTCCCTGGCTGGCGGGCTCTGCTCCAATGAGCTGCAGCTTGGGCAGCGTGAGGCGCTGCAGGGCCAGGGCCGGCGGCGGCTTGCCCTCCTCCCGCGAGTGGAGCGAGATGCCGCTGTCGGAGCCGAGCAGCTCGTCGGCCAGGTGCAGCAGCGCCTTGTTGGGCGCCGCTCCTCCTCCCCGCTGGTTGCGCTGCTGCTTGGACGAAAGCGGAGCGGAGGTGGCGCCGGCGCCGGCGGAGGTGGAGGTGGAGGTGCCCGCCACGAGGGCCTCGTGCTCCTCCTGGACTGGGGCCTGCGACGGGGTCTGGGACGGCTGCTGCGACTGTTCGGAGGCACTGGCCGAGGCCGGCTCCTGCGAGGACTTGTCCGAGATGGGACTGAGGATGTGCAGCTTGGAGTGCAGCAGCAGCGGCGCCGGCCGCAGCGGGTAGGCCACGCTGGAGCTGCAGCTGCCGCTCTCCGAGCTGTGAGAGCTGAGGGAGCTCGAGTGGCGCGACTCCGAGCTTGAGGTGCTCCGGTTGCCCTCGCTGGTACTCGAGCGCAGCGACTCCATGCTGCCCCCGCTGCTCGAGGTGGCTATGGACTCCGTGGAGCTGTAGTTGTGACCCTGGCCCTGCGCCTGGCCGTGGCCGTGGCCATGGCGGGTGCGACGTCCGGCCGATACGCCTGCGGCATGATGATGGTGGTGGTGGTGGTGCTGGCGTTGCTGCTGCGGGTGGGGCTGGGCGCTGCGCCGCAGTTCCAGGACTCGACCCGACTCCAGCACAAAGGAGCGCGGACGCCGGGCGGCAGCCGAGGCGGAAGCGGTGACGGACACTGAAGCGGAGGCCGAGGCCCCGGCCGAGGCGGAGTTCGAGTTGGTCGAGGGCGGATTGACGTAGGCGCTGTCGGTGAGGCTGTTGTCGTTACTGGAGGCGCACAGCTGCTGCTGCTGCGGCTGCTGGAGACGCATCCCCTGGAGGGGAAGGCGCAGGTCGCGCAGTCGCGGATGCGCCGGATTGGCGGCGGGCAGGTTGGGGGCGCTCTTGATGCTGTTCATGTAGCGCTCCTGCTTTCCGGGAAATTTCATAGGCAGTGGCGCCGTCGAGGGCGGGGAGGGCGTGTAGCCCCGCACCGGCAGCTGCTGCGTGCTGGAGGCACTGGCTCCACTCCCTACCGGGGCCGCCACCGCCACTGGGTCGCTGCTCTGGTTCTGATTCTGGTGATCCCGATCCTCGAGCTGCAGATTTCCCAGTTCCGCCTGCACCTGGTGCACCTGGACGTGGGCGTGGGCGTGGCCATGGCCATCGCTGTTCTGCTCCTGGAGGGCCTGGTTCTTGGAGTTCTTTGTTCGCTTGCACTCGAGGCGGCTCTTGGCCTTGGCGGCCGAGGCTGCAGCCGTAGCCGCCGCGACGGTCTCGCTGTTGCCGTTGCCGTTGCCGTTGCTCAGCTGGAGGAGCACCGAGTGGTTGGTGATGCGGTCCACCTCGTCCAGGTCGTCGTCCGACTTGGCTATCTTGCAGTCGAAGGCCGTCTCGTAGATCTGCCGCCTGCGGCTGGTCATTATGTCCGAGTCCGGGTCGTCCTCGTCGTCGTCGTCGTCGTCGTCGTCGTCGTCGTCGTCGTCGTCGTCCTCCTCCTCGCGCTCGTCGTCCCCGTAGAGATCGAGCGTGTTGACGGACTGCGCGGCTGAGTGTCCGCTGAGGCTCAGTGGCAGCTTCTCGGGACGGGCCAGTGGCAGCGGCAGGGGCAGCGGGATCGGGATTGGGATCGGGGCGCACTCGGCGCACTCGTGCACGCCATGCGGATGCACGTAGAAGATGCTGCGCGGCCGGAAGTACTCCTCGAGCTCCTCCTCCGGCTCATCGCTCAGTCCACCTCCAGCTCCTCCTCCGGCTCCGGCTGGGGGGGCGGCTACACAGGCTCCGCACACGGCTGCTGGTCCGAGCAGACGGTGCGGTGGCATCGGCGCCGAAGGCTCTGCTGGGTCGCGGGTCGCGGCTGTGGGATTCGGGGCGTTGGCGCTCGCAGGAGGCGGGGGACAGCACTTGAGCAATTCCCCCTCGCCGGCGTCGCAGTGTTGCAGCTGCAGCTGGAGCTCGCTCCCAGTGGATGGATCGGGATGGGACTGGGAGTGGTGGCGCGGCTGGACGTTGCAGGTCTTGCGGACTAGGGCCAGAGCCCGGGCATGCCACTCGCGCCGCTTGAGGCACTCGCTGCAGTCGGACTCCTCCGAGGTGCTGGTGCTGGGCGTCTCGCACCGGATGATGTGCACACCCTCCTCCGTGAAGCTGTAGCGCTTGGGCGTCGACTGGTCGCCGCCGGGTGCCTCCTCGGACTCCTCTTCCTCCTCGAGATGATCGTTGTCCTCTGTCCGCTCCTCTCCCTCTCGGACTCCCCCGACCTCCCTTTGCTCGTTGTTGTCGTTGTTGTCGTCGTTGTTGTCCTTGTTGTCGTTGTCCTGGTCGCTGTCTCCTACTCCTGCTGCTGCTGCTGCTGCTCCTGATGGCTGCGGCTCCTCTCCGTGCTCCTGCTGGGGCACATCCAAGCTGGAGCTCTTGCGGTAACCACCCAGGCACGGAAGCTCCGCTCTCAGCTGCGGCGGCTCGCTGGCCGTCGACTGGCGGCACTTCTGCTTGGCCTCCTTGTCCTTGTCCCTGTCCTTGTCCTTGTCGCGGCTCTTGAGAAGATCGGAGTAGTAGTAGGGCGAAGGCTGGCGCTTGCTGTACTCTGCTGCCGGGGCGACGGTCAGCTTTCGTGGACTCCGCTGCAGTTGGGGCGGCAGCGGGCGCACCAGATCGTCCGATATGGAGTCCGGCGAATTGAGAACCACCGCTCCAGGAGTTGTTCCCGGCGCTGCAGCCTGGGATGGAGCCTGCTGTGGCTGTGGCTGTTGCTGCTGTGGCTGATCGGCCTCCTCGTCTATGTCCGCCTCCTCGTCGGAGGACTTGGGCGCAGAGGAGTCTGCGGGGGGAGAAGAAAGGGAGAAAGTTAACACACTGCTGACATCGCTGACAGTTTCTAATTAAGTCGTGGAGCACTGCGGCATGGCGGCCCTGTGGCAACTGTGGGCTTGAGCCACGTCGTCGCTGCCGCAGTAGTCTATTTGGCGGTTGGTTAAACCCCGAAGCAGCCCCCATCCTTCTCCTAGTATCCTTCCATTCTAATGCAAAGTCCTGAATGACTCTTAGTCTGACTCTGGCCCCAGGAAAGAGCAGAGCAGAGCCTGCCATTTTCCATTTTCCGCTTGGCTAATCGAAGCTGCCTCTGCGGCAAAAGTGTCTGCATCGCAGGCGAGAAACTTGCACCGCATCTCGGGCTCGGGCTCGGGCTGAGGGTCCACTTAATTGCCATCCACTTAAGGTGGCACCTGCCTCCTGCCTCCTGCCTCCTGCCCCCAGCCTGTTGAGAGGCCAATGTCTATGCCTTGGCCTTCAGTGAAGGCCTGCTCGTGCTCCTACTCCAGCTGCTCCTTCACTTTTCCGCTTTTCCGCTCCTCAACTAGTTACGCGCCTAATGAACCTCGACAACTTTTCATTTGGTTGCAAGTATCTTGGAATACTCGCAAGTTATTCGAGGGAGGGGCAGACAGCTATTTTGTTCTTATAATTAAAAGAATGCCCCCCCCCCCGCCCCCATCAATTTGTCCCTTCTGCTGGTACGCAGCCTCGGGCCTCGTGCCTCGTGCCTCGTGGGGCACACTCACATTCACACTCACCCGAATCGTAGTGGCTGTTCCGTTTATCCTTCCGCTGGTGCTGCTGGTCGTTGTTGTTGTTGTATGTGGAATGCCGCTGCAGCTGCTGCAGATGCAGTTGGGCGCTGCGCGGCGTGGGCAATGTATGTTGCAACTGCTGCGGCTGCTGTTGCTGCTGCTGCTGCTGCTGCTGCTGTTGGTGGCGCTTGTGGCTCGGGGCCGTGCGGCGCTTGGCCTTCTTGTGGTACACCTTCTTGTGGTGGCCGTTGCCGCTCTGGTGGCGCGTGTCCTTCGGATCGGAGTAGCCTTCGATAAGCTTCACTGAGGCCTGCTTGATGTTGCTGTTGGGCAGCGGCGGATGTTGCAATGTTGCCCGCTGCTGTAGCTGCTGCTGCTGATGCTGCACCTGTTGTGCCCCAACTGGCAACGTGTTGTTGTTGTTGGTGGTGTTGTTGTGGAGGTGCTGCTGCTGCTGCTGCTGGTGCACCGAGTGGTTGCCGATGTGCGTGTTGTTGTTGTTGTTGTTCAGCTGCTGCTGCTGCTGGGTTGCTGCTGTTGCTGCAGATGCTGCCGCTGCCGTTGCCGTTGGCGGCTGCTGAATGGGCAAAGTGGCCGAGGGGACCGGGCAAAGCGGTGGCGGCGGTAGGGGCGGTGCTGCCGCTGCCGCTGCTGCAGGTTGCTGCGTCGCTTGTTGGGCTTCACCGAATGGCAGCTGTCGGAAATAAAAAGAAGATTGGGTTGCGGGCGGGGAGGCGCCATTAGCATTTGTTTGCAACTAATTTGATTTGCATTTCAATTTCCAATTTGTTGGCATTTAATTGAAGGGAATGGGGAGAAGGGACAAGCAAGAAGGGAAGAGGGAAAGACAAAGGCAAATGCAAATGGAAACTCGTTTGCAGCGATTGTATGTTTTCCCTTAGATGGTGCCTCAAAGGCCTTAAAATATAGAAACATACTCGTACACAGATGAATGGATCTGCAAGGCTATCTCCGATCTGCAACTAAACCAGAAAATGCGCACCGGATTTCACAACTGAGATACATATATGTTCATATAGTAGGCTGTGAAATCGAACAAAAGCATAAAACATTTTTGGTATGGAAAATATTTTGGGAAATATTCATTCGGTCCCCAGGCCTGGACTGGGGAGCATCAAAATTTCCAGTGTTCTGTTTTCTGTTCTGTTTAGTGAAAAAAATTAAATCAAACAAATTTTAAAAAAGTGAAAAATAATTTCCGGACTATTAAAAAAAAAAATAATCAAACAAAAATAAACTAAATTACACTAAAAATGATTCTCAAAATAAGTACGCGGAAAAAGCAAAAACTCAGCCGAGGCTCTTCAACGATTTTAATCTTTCGGTTTTCTCCTGCCTCCCCTGTAGGATAAAGGATCCGCTGATCCTTGTTTCTGTACAGGCCTGTTCCACAGATGGATGAAAGGAGAGGAAGATACCTCCAGGCACCCACACCCACACCACCACACCGCACGCACACATTCGCAATCGAACTCGAACTCGTCAACGCTTTTGCACAACTATACTATTGCAGGATGGAACCGGCCGAAGGCACAGGGGATGGCATCCTGGACAAGAGCTTCATTGGGCAGATAAACCAAGAAGCGAACTATAAGCAGCCTCTACCTTGGTGTGAGTCGGGACCTAATTAGGATTTGAATTGGATTGAATTAATCCTCTACTTTTCCATTTACAGATTGAAGGCTCTGCTGTCGATGCCATCGGCACAGGATCCGCTGATCCTTGTTTCTGTACAGGCCTCTTCCACAGATGGAAGATACCTCCAGGCACCCACACCCACACCACCACACCACCACACCGCACGCACACATTCGCAATCGAACCCGTCATCGCTTTTGCACAACTATACTATTGCAGGATGGAACCGGCCGAAGGCACAGGGGATGGCATCCTGGACAAGAGCTTCATTGGGCAGATAAACCAAGAAGCGAACTATAAGCAGCCTCTACCTTGGTGTGAGTCGGGACCTAATTAGGATTTGAATTGGATTGAATTAATCCTTCTCTACTTTTCCATTTACAGATTGAAGGCTCTGCTGTCGATGCCATCGGCACAGGATCCGCTGATCCTTGTTTCTGTACAGACCTGTTCCACAGATGGATGAAAGGAGAGGAAGATACCTCCAGGCACCCACACCCACACCCACACCACCACACCGCACGCACACATTCGCAATCGAACTCGAACTCGTCAACGCTTTTGCACAACTATACTATTGCAGGATGGAACCGGCCGAAGGCACAGGGGATGGCATCCTGGACAAGAGCTTCATTGGGCAGATAAACCAAGAAGCGAACTATAAGCAGCCTCTACCTTGGTGTGAGTCGGGACCTAATTAGGATTTGAATTGGATTGAATTAATCCTCTACTTTTCCATTTACAGATTGAAGGCTCTGCTGTCGATGCCATCGGCACAGGATCCGCTGATCCTTGTTTCTGTACAGGCCTCTTCCACAGATGGATGAAAGGAGAGGAAGATACCTCCAGACACCCACACCCACACCTCCACACCGCACGCACACATTCGCAATCGAACTCGAACTCGAACTCGTCGCTTTTGCACAACTATACTATTGCAGGATGGAACCGGCCGAAGGCACAGGGGATTGCATCCTGGACAAGAGCTTCATTGGGCAGATAAACCAAGAAGCGAACTATAAGCAGCCTCTACCTTGGTGTGAGTCGGGACCTAATTAGGATTTGAATTGGATTGAATTAATCCTTCTCTACTTTTCCATTTACAGATTGAAGGCTCTGCTGTCGATGGCATCGGCACTCGACACTGTGGGCTCTGGTCTCGGCTCTGAATATCGTGGATCACATTAAGAAACAGAACAACAAATCAACAGGGATTATTGCCAGCACAGAACACCAATCGACACATTTTATCGACTTTGTTTATAGCAAATGGTTAAGATCATTAAAAATTTGATTTAATTAACCATCCATCGATTGTTTTCTTTGATTGTGATTCGTGTGATTCTCCTTTGTGGCAGGGCACAAGAGCATTTGCCGCCTGCAGATTCCTCTGGAGGCTGGAAACTGGAAGCTCTGTGAAGGCCGTCGCCGCAGATCTCATTGCCTCCACGATTCCCTCCTGCATTCCTCTCGCTGCAAAAATCTCTGCAAATCACATTCCTTTCGGGAGCTAAACAAATTTCAATAAAATGAATTTCAAGTGGCAGACAGACAGACTTTTCCATGCCTGCTGCCTGCTGCTTTGATAAAAATTTCTCAGGGTTTACTGAGTTACAATATGATAAAAATCTAGATATGAGGGGCATTTCACTCAAACTCTGGAAGGCGATGGAAATTGCAATGCTATAATCGTATTCGTATTCCAATATTCCTCAGAGCTCGAAACATAATCTCATGTTTATCGTCTATCATGCGGTAGTGTTTTCTCATCTTTCAATTCATCTGAATTCGCTCATTTGTTCGATTGTGAGAAGTATTCCTCTGATGAACGAACCCATCCACTGGCCAGTGGGCCTTGCATTTCGGTTCGTTCCCCAAGAGTGCCATCCCATCCCCCTGCCTCTTTCCACATCAATCCCTTAGTAGTCTCAACATCCGTCGTTTGATTGTGTAGCTACTTGGGCAGTGGTTTCCTCGATCTTCTTCCTTTGCCGCATGCCTGACAAACTACAGAACTGACATTAGCAGGATCCTAATGTGTGCAAATTATGAGGCAGTCATAATCTCATCCTCATGCTCGCCCTGTGCGTTCGGATTCTGGTCATAATGTTAAAAATAAATTTCCGCTTACACGGTCATCCCACATCCTACATCCATATTCCTGTTGAGCGGAAATTGATGTTTGGCCACAGACGACACAGGCAGTGGCAGGAAGGCAGAAGGAGGAGTGGGAGCAGGAGGTCATTGTGCGCCAAAAACATTTTTAATTGAAACTCATAAATAAGGACCTCCTCTATTGAGGAGGACTCCGAGAGGCAGAAGGGGGAGGCACCAGAAGGGGCTGCTTGGATAACCATTTTTAATGAATTTGAACTTGAAACCGAATGCAATGCAGCAGATAGCTGCTGCTGCTGATGCTGCCTCCCTTTTGTTGCACAAAAGCTGGTTGCCACAGAAACCTCCGCTCCGCGCCGCGCCGCTCCGTGCAGTGCCGTGCAGTACCGTGTTCTCCGTCTCAAAGCGATGGGAAAGGCAAGGCAGATTGATAATGGCGGTTGCCTGTGCGCTAGCCAGTGGCAGGAGTAGGGGTTCGGGGTGGGGGCATGGGGCAGGCTGCCACTGGGGGACTTGTTAGGGTTCGTTGGTTCTTCGCTGGAGCTATTCTTGTGTTGTGTGTGCTTAACCCCCCCCACCCATGCACCCCTCCCCCATCCTCGTTTGAACGAGTGTTTTGCCGTTTAAATATTTGCCTTTGATTATCCACATACGATATAAGCAAACACATACTTCATTCACCATACATCCCATGTAGTCGTACCATTTATACATATCTGTGGATACATATATCCATAGATACTCGTACTCGTACTCGTATCTCCTCATGCACGATTGCCCGGCACCAATCAGTGTGGGGTGAGGGGCAACAGAGGGTAACAGAGTAACAGGGTGAAGGGGCAACAGGGGCAATAGGGTGTGCGGCAAATAATGAAAAACTGTTCGACTCTCTGTCTCTGGAATGTCGTCTGCTGAATTTTGTTGCCGCAGCAACGAGATTTTTATGCCAACTTTAATGAAAAAAATACAAAAACAAATACAAATACAACTACAAATAAATGAAAGGATGTATCCTTATGGAGATGTACGCGTGAGAAGGGGGGCCAGACAGACACAGACATAGAACAGCGAGAGAGAGCAGAGAGTTGATGAGATGAGCAAATGTCTGCCTAAAGACTAATGCTGATGTAGAACAACAGCACCTCCTCCTTGGACTCCTTTCACTCCTTCTAATCCTTCTGCTGCTACTGCTGTCTCCTGTGGGATGGATAGGATATCGCTCACTTCTGAAAATATACCTATAAATATACAATGCCACCTCCATCCTGTACCTGCACTAAGCATCAGCCTTGGATTTGGCAACTTTCCTAAACGAATTTAGGCCATAAAAGTGACAGTTCTCCGCCTTCCGTCATTCGAAAGTTGGCGCTTGCCTCAGTCACATCTAAGCGATCGCAATCCCTGTGTACTATCTGTGGACTACAGGGTATCATTGCAGAACAGACCCGTCAGCCCCAGCCCGCATTCTCCATCCTGCCTTCCAGCCAAACAAAGCGGCGTATGAGTGATATCTAAGCTGCGGCTCCTCCTCAGCCTCCCCTCTGCCTCTGGCGTTTCATTCGGAGTTTCAGAGAGAACGCGGGGTGGCGGTGGCAGAGGTCCTAAGTTATTGAAATATACAAAAACCATGCAACACGCACACACACACACATACACATACAAATAGAGGACACAGAGCCTTTGTGTGCGGCGGAGTTTTGCTCACTTTTCTTCCTACTTTCAGTTTTTATACCCGATACTCAAAATGAGTATTGGGGTATATTAGATTTATGGTAAAAGTGGATGTGTGTAACGTCCAGAAGGAATCGTTTCCGACCCCATAAAGTATATATATTCTTGATCAGCACCAATGCCGAGTCGATTGAGCCATGTCTGTCTGTCCGTATGTCCGTCCGTCCGTCTGTCCGTCTGATCGTCTGTCCGTCCCCTTCAGCGCCTAGTGCTCAAAGACTATAAGAGCTAGAGCAACGATGTTTTGGATCCAGACTTCTGTGATATGTCACTGCTACAAGAATAATTCAAAACTTTGCCCCGCCCACTTCCGCCACCACAAAGGGAGAAAATCTGTGGCATCCACAAGAGAAAACTAAAAACGCAGAATCGTAGAAGATGACTATATCTTCTAGAGTGCAAAATCTGAACCAGATCGTATAATTATTATAGCCAGAATCAAGAAAACAATTTCATTCTTTCTCGCTCTGTCTTTCTCTAACACACAGGTTTCATGGTCGGTTTCGCCAATTGCAAAATATGAGTTCAAGGATCTCAGAACCCATAAGAGCTAGAGCAACCAAATTTGGTATCCACACTCCTTTGATATCGGACCTTGACCGTTTTGTGTCAAAGTTTCGCCACACCCCCTTCCGCCCCCGCAAAGGACGAAAATCTGGGGCATCCACAAATCTCAGAGACTATTAGGGCTAGAGTAACCAAATTTGGTACACACACACCTTTAAGATGTCACTATAAAACGTATATCTTAAAATTTCGCCCCACCCCCTTCCGCCCCACAAAGAACGAAAATCTGTTGCATCCACAATATTGCAGATTCGAGAAAACTAAAAACGCAGAATCATAGATAATGACCATATCTATCAGATTGCTGAATTTGGATCAGATTGGATAATTTTTATAGCCGAAAAGAAAAAAAACAATTTTCAGTGGCTACGCAGCGCCCGACGTCACGCTCAGACTGATTTTCTGTCTCTCTCGCACGCACTCTTTGTCGTTTCGTTTAATATTAGCGCCGTCTGCCGGAGGAGAGCCATACTGACTTAGTATCGGGTATAACTGTAGAGTTGCGGTGTCCGCAGCAACTCACAACGTTCCCCCTCGTTTGTTATTTTTTGCTGAGTTATCGCTGAATATTACTCCATGGAGAGTAATACTAGCAGCAACAACAACTGTAAAAGGCAGCCCCCCCCCCCCCCCCCCCCCCCCCCTCAGTCCCCTCTCTCTCTCTCTCTGGAGACCCTTCCCCTCTGGCCAAGTAAACACTTCAGGAGACCCAGACTCAACAGCGTTCCACATATCGCAAAAATGTCGCGTCGCATCGCCCGCTTCTCGTTTTCCATTTATATGGGAGTTTTTTGCCAAAACGAAAAAATAGCAACAACAATGGCGCAGCCATGCACACACACGCACAGGCACACACACACATGCTAAGAGCGAAAGCCATTATGGCATCATCACATGGCTATGGACACGCGTCTCTCGTCGGCATGAGGAGGGGTATCCGTATGCCTCCCAAGCCTCCAAAGCCTCCCAAGCCTGCTGTTTACGCAAAACAAAAGTCAAAAGATAAAATTACATTAATTATTGTGCGGGGGAAAGAGAGAGAAACGCTAGAGATGGTATCGTGTATCCGAATTATCGCGACGCAGGATACCATACCAATGGAATATTGGCATTCCTAACAGAGACAATCCAACACGATTCTATCACGATTGATCCTTTACCCCTTTGGAGGTTGGCATGCAACGACTGCATCTTTCAAAAGGCGGTGCAACTACTGCCCCATCAAGTGGCCCGTGTGACAACAGCAGAAGGCTGAGCGCTTGAGACGAGAGTTCTCCCACACGATTGCATTTTTTGTAATCTTTAAAGAGTGGATCGGAATCAGTTCTTCGATAATCGGTATTTAATCTGTCAGATATCGTGCCCTTCAAACACACATCGTGCCATGTCGTGCCATGTCGTGCTGTGCCGTGTCGCCTCGTGACTCCACCTCTAATACTCATATGCATATGCACCCCAGTGCGAAAGAGAAAGCCTGAGAGTAGAGAGCCCTTCGGACAGAGACAGTGCGAAACTAACAGCGAGAGGGAGACGCTGGACCATTTGGACATCAGAGAGTACTCCTATTTCAGTAGAAAGAGGTAAGAGGTAAGAGGTAGGAGAGGCCAGGGGCAGGATTCCACCATGGAATCGAGAGGGCACTAGGGTTACTCGCAGAAACGGCAACAGTCGGGAGTATTTAACTAACCGCATTCTGTGGAGCCTTCAACAATTTCCAGCGATTAGCA